AGATGGCGCCACCATTTCAACGCTTGATTGTGTTGCTTAAACGAAGTGCCGAGCCTCTCTTCATAACTCAAAAAATAATTAACATCAAACTTCTCAAAATCCTGGGGCCCGCGCGCCGCCGCCGCTGCGGTGGCGCGGGGCTCCTGCGCCGCAGGCGCGGCTCGGGATCCCGACCCCTCTCCTGAAACTGTGTTCCCAAGTTCTGGTACGTTTCGGAGGGCAGCCCTCACGAAATTATCGAATTCGGGCTTGCCGAGACCAGGGGCGCGGGGGCTCACAACGCTAAGCGCGGCGAAGCGAGACGGCCGTTGAGACGAGACCGCCGCCGCTGCTGCGGCGGCAGGGCCATCGCGCCATTTGGCGTCCTCCGTTGGCGTGTGCCCGTCTTGTCGCCAGTCTCTCCAACCCCTCGCTGACCAATCATGGCCGTCCTCCCAGCCACGCCAGCCGCTGCTGCGGCTATCCCACCATCCTCCCGCGCCATCCCATGTGTATCCGCCTGCATCGCCCATTGCAAGACGATGGCGCAGGCGCGCGTTAGGCCGCGACGGGCCCAGCTGCACCGGTGCTCGCGGGCGATCCCACGGGCGCGGGGTGGTTTGAGCATAGCGGCGGCGGACGACGCGACGTGATTGGACGGCGGAGAACTTGAAAGGAAGGGGGGTTGGAAACGAATGAACGAAGTGGACGAAGAGCGGAAATCGAACCAGAGGGAGGCGAAAAAAGAGCGGAAAAGAATAAGGACATGCAGACGAAGGAGAGTGACGAGGTAGATGGCGGGCCAGAACGGCAACGGAGGATAATGTGGTGGAAATTGTGAAAAGGACGCATGGAACAACACGACGAGGATCACAGACGCAAAGATGATGAGCGCAGTGGTAGCATGACATATCCGAAATCAAGAAGCAGGATGAGGAGGAACGGGATGACGAGCAACTCTGTCGCAGAGAGCCTCCGAACGCACCCCCTCTGTCACAGAGGGCCTCCGAACGCACCCCCTCTGTCACAGAGGGGGTCCGAAAAACACCCCCTCTGTCACAGAGGGGGGAAATGATCACTTTAATGCGGCTTCTGGATTAGGCGGGGGAGGCTCTACGGTGCGTGCCACTTTGGGGGTGGTCCGGTGCCCCGCTAAGTCTCGCACCGCGCTCTCCGCGCGGTGGCCGAGAGGGTGCCAGGGTCCCCGACCTCAGAGAGGCGGGAGGCTTGGAGCGGCATCCAGATGTGGTGTCGTGAGTGGGTGAATTGGCGGCGTGTGAGTGGACCCTGTGAGCAGGCGGCGGAGTTGTAGGTTTGCTACTGTGGCGGGCTGGGACCCCCGTTTGAAGGCACAGTGACTTGTGGCTGCAGCTGCCTCCCTGCTGCTCCCTTCCTGCTTCTTGGAAAAGGGAGGCCGCCTGCGCGTCGATGGACTTGGAAGGCCACGCGAGTGGCAAGGCAGCCGAATTCAGTCGAATCCTCCTTCTTCTCCTCCTCCTCCTCCTCCTCCTCCTCCTCCTCCTCCTCCTCCTGGTCCTCCTCCTCCTCCTCCTCCTCCTCCTCCTGCTCCACCTCCTCCTGCTCCTCCTCCTCCTCCTCCTCACTCCTCACGACCTCCCGTCGTGATGTTTGCACGGCGTGAGCATGTCTGGGGGGCAGGCGGGACGAGGCGGCCAGTAGAAAGAGGCGCTCCAGCGGAGCAGGGAGGGGAGGCCTCGCCCTCCTCTGGGCCACGTTGCGCCCTCCTCTGGGCAACGCTGCGCACTCCTCTGGGCCCTCTTCTGCATTGTCTTGAATTGTCTTCTCGGCATCAGTGCCACAGCGTCGACGGGAGGCAGAGCATTTCTATACATTAGTGTTTTTGCTCGAACTCGCTGAGCAAGCAAGGATACAGCCAAGGTAGCAGAGTCTTGGCCGAATACAAAATCATCGTCGCCAGAGCGTGTGTTGCCCATTCCCTCTGGGCCACGCTGAGCCCTGGAGCGAAGCATCACCACAAACTGCACGCGCCTGGTCTGAGAGGGCAGACCACAAGAAGCGGCGCCCTCCCCGGGGACGCTGCCCGCGACGGGGAGGGCCCCAGGGATGCCCGCGGAGGCAGGAGAGCCCAGTCGAATCGACGAATCGGATCGGCGATCGAAGCGAATCGGGTCGGCGGAAATCGGCAGCCGACTCTCCTGGATTGCGTTCTGACCAGGATTTCGAGGCGAATCCGGCGGTTGCGACGAGGGCCTCCCAGAAGGCCCACAAAGGGGAGAAAACGAGGGAAGGGTATAGCGGTATGGGTACCTCCTCCTCCTCCTCCTCCTCCTCCGAGAAATCGGAGGAGCCGAAGCGAGCCCGCGGAAGAGGGGGCTGGCGGGGCGGAGGAGCGGCGGAACCAGCCCCCCCTCGAAGGCACGGGCCGGCCAGGGGCGGGCAAGGCAGCCCCGGAGAGGCGGCGAGGGCCGGTGGGGAGGCTCTCGCGCGCGGGGCTCGCGGGGGGCGTGAAGGGGGGGGGCACTCGTGGCGCCACCCGCCGCAGGCGGGCCGCGTCCGCGCGGCGGGCCCCTCTCTGCCTTCGGGGAGGGCCCGGGTGCACAGAGCAGCCCTCCCCTCTAGAAGCCTCGTCAAAAATAAACAGAAGACTTCTGAATTCGGTGATTGTGGGGTCAGCGCTACTCCAATGCTGACGGATGCCTGTTGACTCGGACGCGGTGCTGTCCAAGAACTGACCCCACCCTCTGAGCATTGAAGAACGCGCTTTCTGACAAGTGCCCGAAAGCATCTCGCTCCAGGATTTCAACTTCCATTTCTGGATATTTTTGACGAGGCTTGTAGGAGCAAGATCCTTGGAGGCCGAGGTTGGGATGTTGTTGGGCGGCGGGCGACCAGAGAAAACGGCAGAGGACGAGCCGCAGAGGCAAGGACACAGGGGCATCCTAGATAAAGGCGCGCGTTCCTACTACAGAGAGAAAACAAGCCATTAACACAATTTTTTGGGGCGCTGCGCGCGGATTTCTTGGATCCGCGCTGGACCCCCCTCCCTGGCGTGCGAGGGGCGGCGCCGGAGGCGCCGCCGGGGGGCCCAGCGCGGATCCAAGAGACATCCGCGCGGAGCGCAAAGCGTTTATATGTATTCCGTTTTTTCTCGTCGAAGACCAGCCCTCCCATGACTCTAGATCTGCCCTACGGTGCGGAGAGACGCAATTCGTGGACCCCCACCCACCCTCTCCCCCAGATTCAAGGATGGCACGCGCGGGGAAGACTGCGGTCGAAGTGCAACTCATCGAGCCCACTGCCAGCTCTGATTCGAGGGGGGAGGGCGGGGTATTGACAGATGAATGTGGCGTGGCACGAGTGTTCGCTAATTTCTTCAGAGGCCTGTGCGTTGGACTATTTTGCGAGTAGGGCGGAAAATCCGCCCTACCTTTCAGGCTACTTTGATGCCGATTTCCACCCTACCTTGCCGTCGCTGCTTCCGCAGTTTCCTTGCGGAAATAGCCGCCCTTCTTTTCGGAGGCGGATTTTTCGGCTGATATTGCATCACATGTCGGGGAATCAGCCAGATTACGGCGGACCCACAAAATACCCGCACCTCAGGGGATACTGTGATCTAGTGGGGCCCTCTGTGATGCCTCCCCCACGCGCGCACGAAAACCGCCCAGGAGCCTCGAGCACCAGCCGACATCCTCCTCCCCCTTTTCCCCCTTCCATAGAAGAAGAAAAAACGCCATGCACATAAACTTTTGGCGCTCCGCGCGGATCCGCGCTGGACCCCCTTCCCAAGCGCGCGGAGCGCGCCAGGGGGCGCCGGAGGCGCCGCCCGGGGGGCCCTAACGCGGATCCGCGCGGAGCGCCAAAAGTTTCATGTTTATGGCAACTGCTCTTCCCCGATCCCATTGCGAGCCTCTCATCCCTCGCACACCACGGTGCTGGACCGCGGGGACCCCCCCCCTTGCCTGCCCTCCCGTCCCCGAGGAGGTCGGAGTCGGGCGGAGGGAGGCGGGAGGAGGGAGGAGGGAGGGAGGGGGGAAGGAGGAGGGGGGAGGGGGGAGGGAGGAGGGAGGCGGGAGGAGAGAGGGCGGAGCTCGGGATTCTGGCGGCCGATCCGAGCGATTCTGGGGCATCCACGGCACGGCCCTCGGCGAGGCGCCAGCTGCTGGAAAAAACGTCTCGAGGCTGGAAAGCCCCTGGAGTCTGCGAAGCTGGCCGAGCACCCCTGCGATCCGACGCTGCGAAACCATCCAGCATCGCGAAGGGTCACGACGGGACCCCCACCCCCACCCCGTTCTGCGGCATGCTTCTGGCCTGATCGACCGCCCTGACTCCAAATCCGCCGTGACCTGGAATTTCGCAAGTAGGGAGGACATTTCCGTCATACTTTTCAAGCTCCTGTGATGTCGATATCCGCCCTACTTTGCCGTCGCTGTTTCCGCCATACCCTTGCGGAAAAATCCGCCCTGCTTTTTCTGAGGTGGACATCTCCGCCCTACTTTCTTGCATCGCTTCGGTTGCATGTCCGATGCAAATCTACATCAATGAATCATCAAACATACGGCGGATCTGGAGCCAGGGCTGCGATGGCCCCGGGCCCGAGGCCGGGCCAAACTCGCCTGGCGTGAACAAACTGCAGCGCCGGGACTTCTGGGAACCCTCCTGCCTCGGCTCGAGGTTCCCCCCGGATCTCCAAGGCCCCCCACGGCCTCCCGAGCACCCCCCACGAGGCTCCGAGGGGGTGCTCCAGAATTAAGCGAAAAGCAGGAGCACCTTGGGTCAGAGGCACTTTTCGAGCAGGAGATCGCCTACAGAATGCAATCGTCCCAAACTGAAATGGTCGACGAATCTGCGACAAGCGCGCAGGATGTTCTTAGATCTATGAAGGTTCCACATATCGTTTTTGTACATCCGACCACAAAAAACTAAGTTTGGGGGACCTCACTTCTGTGGTCGACCTCCTGCTCGAGCTCGCAGCGGCCCCCGAAGCAGCGGGGGGAGGGGGCTGCTGCCGCCGGGCAGCCGCGGCCGAGCTGTGGGCGCGCCTCCGCGCCGGACCGCGCGAGCACGCAGGTCGAGTCGCCGACCCAGCCGACCAGCACCTCGCGCGCCTCTCGGGGGCTTCGGGCTGCCGCGGCTGCGCCGCGGGCGGCCGCGGGGAGCAAGTGTTCCGTGTCAGCTCAAAGGCTCAGGGCCCCGCCTGAGGAAAGAACAGCACACACACACACACTCAAACCTATAGAAAGGAGGAACGGGGAAGGGCAAGGTGATGACGGCGCTATTGGTATGGGTGCGAGTTGTCGGGCCCCGGGAGGGGCTCCCGTTCGAGGGGGGAACCACATCCGACAACACACACACACAGCACCCCCCAGAATTCCACCGCGAGAAATCATGGGGTCGCATAGGTATGGGTGCTGGTTGTCAACCGACCCCGTCCTGGAACCCCTTATGTGGCAAGTCATGGGAGCCTTCCATACCATCTTGTCGGCTCTTGCGAATCGACGCTAGTCGACGCTAGATCGACGTTGATCGACGCTAGCCGACGCTAAATCGGCGCTATCTCGTCGACTCCCAGACGCTAATCGACGCTAACGACGGAATTAAGGTATACCTGGCTCCCATGATTTGCTACCGAACTGCGACCCTCCCAGCCGTCCACTCAGAGCCAGAACCCGACCATCACGGGCCCCTCCTGGGCACCGCCCCGGCCAGTCCTGGAAACCTACGCTTAGGTCGGGCATGCCCTCCTACAGGCAGATTTTGGAAGACAGCTAAAACATAGCCAAATGATGCTCACAAATAATCATCACAGGAGCACCAGAAAGTTGTAACCACAGTAGCTTTTACGGCTTTCGAATATTCCTCCCTGCAGTGGGATATGCCTGACATAAACCTGCGGCACTCCCCGCCGTCCGCTCAAAGCCACATCCAGACCATGTGAGCGTTTTTTTTTATTCGGCGATTCGGCATTGGGCGGAAGGGGGGGGAGGGGGGGGGGTCTGGCTCCAGACCTCTGCTCAGTGCGACTGTTTGGGACCGTGCGTCCTAGGGGGGAAGACTCGACTCCACCCGCTCGAAGCAAGCGCCAAGAAACAGTCAAGATCCACTCCAAAAGGGGGGGGTGCGAGGGCCCGCGCCGATTGGCAAAATAACGAAGAAAAACACGATCACCATCGTGGGCTCAGCCTGGGCACCGCCCCGACCCGTCCTGGAAACCTGCGGGACTCCCCGCCGCCCGCTCCAAGCCAAAGTCGGACCATCACGGGCCCCTCGGGGGCCCCCCCCGACCAGTCCAACCTTCGAGAAGGCCCCAAGATTGGAAGCTAGTCGAAGGCTGGCAAATCCGTGGCTGCTAAAACGGTTTTTCCCGGAAGAAAAAAAAACAAATTTCAGGAATCAAGCTCAACGCACTAAGCAGTAAACGGGCTGCTTCAAGGAAAAACAAACAAACAATTTCCCGGAGCTCCGATTTAACAGCCACGGGTTTGCCAGCCGTCGCCCGGCTTCTGACAGGCGCCCCCCTGGGTGCCCCTCGAGCAAGGCGCCCCAGAGATGCCCGGACGTCTCCCGTGGGCACCTCGGAACCTCCGGGGGGGCCCCCCTGAAGCCGCACCCCAAGATCCCCTCGGAGGTCCTCGGTGGAGCCTGCCTGGAAGCCGCTGGAGGCACACCGAGTTCTGAGAAACCCCCGAACGTCCCCAGAGCTGTGTGGACGCCCGTGTCCCCTCAAGGACGGTCGGCATCGGATCGGGACATCGGATCGAATCGGAATAAGCGTCGGATCGGGCTGCCTCAGGACGGAGTTAGACTCGAATCGGCTGCGCCAAGCAACGCCGTGCAATACAAACATCGAGCCGCACAGGATCGCCGGAACGTCGGAATCGATTCGGAGCGAGCCGGCCAGAAGCGATGTCGAGTCGGATCGATCGGATCGGAATGGGCCTGCTGGATGCCCCGGCCTGCGGGACTCCCGTCCACCCCCCCGGGAAGTCCCGCAGCAGCCCCCGAGGGGCCCCTTGAGCTGGCCATGCTTCCCCGAGGCCATGAGGGCGGGCGGTGTCGCACGCCGCGTGTGGCCAGCACTGGCCCGTCATCGCTGCCACGGCCGGCCGCTCCGGCCCGCTCGACGAGGAACTCTTCCACGTCCGAGCGCTCTTCCCTCCCCCTCCCCCCTCCCCCCCCCCCGCGGCCGCCCTCGTCCTTGTCCCTCTCCTGCACGCTGGCCAATGGGCCATTCGGTTGCCCCGAACGGCCACACGCTGGAGCGGACTGCCTCACCAGCGACGGCAAAAATGCCAGCACTATAGTTCGAGCAGGGACCGATCGTCCCGGCACTGCTATGGGCCTACCACGAAATGTTCTTAGAACCCGAAAATGTTCTACGGACCAAAACGATGTCCTTAGAACATAAGCCCGATGTGTTAAAACAAGACAGCCCCAGCCAGAAATGATCTAAGAACATTTCGTGCAGACCACGAAAGGTTCTTAGAACATTGTTTGGTAGGCCTGTAGGCACACCAGGACGCTTCGCCACTGCTTGAATAGTCCGAGGGGTGGAGCGCAGAACCCGCGCCCATGCGCGCCACCGCACGCGAAGCTGCGCGCGCTCTCTTCAGGGCGACCGCGGAGGGGGGCGGGGGGAGGGCGCAGCTCCACGGCGATGGCCCGTGGTCCAAAGAGACGCACCCGCCCGGATGGCCCCGTCGGCCCGGCCTCGCGCAGCAGAGGGATGCACGGCGCCCTTTTTTCTGGGGTGGACAGAACCCCCTCCCTGACACGTCGATTAGTGAATTGTCCGTTTTCGGTTCTCGAGAGGGCGCCGCGGTCGTCATTTTCCAGGCTTGCGCCCGCCAGGTTTGGGCCCGAGGTCGTTTTCACTAAACCACGTTTTACTAAAGGGGCTTCTGTTGATTTTTTGTGATCGAGACATCAGAGAAGCATAATTACTCGGAATATCTGCTCACTCCGTCTCTGCCGTATCTGGAGCAAGACACGCGGTGCTGCCCTGCCGGCTGGACGCGACGGGGCGGCCCCCCCCCAAAAAAATCACGCCCCTGGCGAGGCGTGGGACCTCGAGGGGCAGGGCGCTGCGTCGGACTGCACGGCGCCTGGAACCTGCCAAACCCAGGAGTAACATTGGATCGAGGGAACAGAAAAACGCGGCGAGCGTGCCCACGACCGAAGGGTGCAGGCGTCCCTTGCTCTCGGTCCTTTCGGGTCGCCGCTGCGAGCACGAGGAAAGCGGGGCAGGGGGGAGAGCTTCCACTGCGCTCAAGAGCGCGCCCCGACGCCTGGCCCCGCCGCTTCCGAGAGATAAGTTGCTGTCCCTGATGCCGCTGCCAAACAAGCATGAGAGAAGGACAAGAGCCACCGATGCTCTTCCACAGCTCTTCACGCTGTTTGCCCCTGGACTGTCAGCTCCCTGGGGGGCCTGGGGGCCTCCAGTGGAACCGCGGGGGCCTGCCTCCTCCCCCCAGCGCGGACGTCGCGGGGCGCCTCGCGCCGCACGAAGCAGAGCGTCAGCGTGGCGCCCGAGAACGACAGGTCGAACCCGTCGTTCTTGCCGCGCTCCTGCAGCGCCTGCCGGGTCGAGCGGGGGCTGGTGCGCAGGCGGGCCGCAGGAGGGCAGGCCCCAACGGCGATCGCCCGGAGAGCCCGGCGCGGCGCCAGCCAGCGAGAGGAACACTGCGAGCCGACCCCGTGCGCGCGCGGAAGGGGGAAGAGCGTCCACTCCTGTTGCTCGGCGCGACGTCGGAATCTAGCCACGGGGGGGGGGCGGCAAAACGCGCGAGCAACGCGCAAGCCTTACTGCCCCATCGTGCAGGCACTGACGTCGAGAAAAACGTCTTCTGTGCACGATTGACTGGTGCAGAATCCCCACCCCGCCCGCTCTGGCACCGCCCCTGCTCGAAAATACCCCCCCCCGTCCCCTGAACCAGGACGCTCCGCCCCTAGCCCCTCCACAGCGAGAACTCCCCCTCCGAAAGACGGGGAAGGGGGTTCGGACCGCCCCCCGTCGTTGTCGTCGCCGTCGTCGTCGTCCTAGTCGTCGTCGTCGTCTTCGTCGTCGTCGTCGTCCTCGTCGTCGTCGTCGTGATCGTCGTCGTCGTGATCGTCGTCGTGATCGTCGTCGTCGTCGTAGTCCTCCTCCTCCTCCTCCTCCTCCTCCTCCTCCTCCTCCTCGTCGTCATCGTCCTCGTCGTCGTCCTCGTCGTCGTCGTCGTCCTCGTCGCCCTCGTCTTCGTCCTCGTCGCCCTTGTCCTCGTCGCCCTCGTCCTCGTCGCCCTCGTCCTCGCCGGCGGCGCCGCGCGGAGGCCGGGGGCCTCGTGGACCAAGTTGAACACCCGCTGCCTAGGCTCCCAGCCCGCGCCCGGCGCTGTGCCGGGCTAGGCGAAGGCAGGATGAGGAGGCACGCGCGAAAACCACGACAGCTGGCATGCTTCGCAAAAACTGCTGTCTTGGGATGGGCTGGCGGGGGGACTTTCCTGATCGCGACCGCGAGCGGACACCCGCGCGGCGTCGCGAAGTCGGGCAGACAAGCGAGGGGCAGCTACGCCGAACCGGCTACGCGGCACCGCGAGCAAAGCGCGAGGGGGCGGACCGACGAAGGAACAAAAGCGAGAGAGAGCGCGAAGAGAAGAAAGACGACATAACGAAAAGAACGGCGACGAGAGGGGAACCGAGGGAGCAGGAGGAAGAAAAGAAAAGTCGCAGCTCAGAAGTGGAACAAGTAGGGGATTACCCTGACCCTGCTGTACTCCATGTACTTGCCGGAGGTAGGCGACGAAAGGACTCAAATCCAAAAAGCTGGTGCGGGGACGCGAAGCGTCAAGAATTGCAGCAATCCCAAATGCAAGCCCACGTCCCCACTACTTCGAAATACTCCACCACGGCCGATGATTTCAGGTTGTGTGGTCCAGTCGCCCAATGCTTCCACGCACTCATCGTAGCCGATACCTCCTTTCAGCCACGCTCTCATCTGACTGTTTTGATCCCACGGTTATTTACATAGTTTGGGCTCACCCTCATGCCAAGATTATGCCATGAACTCCACCACTATAGGTAAAATATCTGCGTTAGTTTGCGGCGCCCAGTACAACGCCATACTCGAAACTGATGCACTTGAGTACGCATGGCCTGCGGGAACTTCAACATAGTCGATCCTCGTCATTGCGAAATATATGAAGACTATGGGTCCGTGTTCATGATGATATGTATCTGCCAGGCACCGATTGTGTGCATTTAGCACGGTGCTTCAACTCGCCGTATGTGGATCCTCCTGCTTTTCAGCCCCAGAAGGGCCGATCGCATTGTCCCCCGTACTCTGAATGTGAACCCAATCGCCCCCAAACTATTGCAGCCCACTGCGAAAGTTAGTGCCCATGAGAAAAAATGGTACACATCTAGCTGGAAGTTGATATTTATTATATGTACACATAACCCAATCGATAATATGCTGACAGCGCTTCTTGTTAGCCACACGTTCTGGTAATAGGACCCCCGTAAATACTGATAGTGCAGAAATCATAACGCCCATCCCCCCCGATGTCGAACCGCACCCCCGCGACGCTGGAGAAAATCAGGAGGACACTCGGACGAACCGATGACGTCGAAATAGTTTGGTCTTGATCGTGATCATGCACACCGTCGACGAGTTGGCCCCCCGAGTTTTACTGGTTTGCCCTTGCCCCTTACTAGCTGAAGGAGGAGGAGGATGAGGAGATGAAGGAGGAAGAAGAGGAGCAGAAGTAAGAGAAGGAGTAGGAGTATGTAATTAGGAGTAGGAGGCGGAGGAGGGCGGAGGAGGAGGGCGGAGGAGGAGGGCGGAGGAGGAGGAGGAGGAGGAGGAGGAGGAGGAGGAGGAGGAGGAGGGCGGAGGAGGAGGAGGGCGGAGGAGGGCGGAGGAGGAGGAGGAGGAGGAGGAGGAGGAGGAGGAGGGGCGAGCAGGACGAAGAACGGGAGGGAAGGAGGGGAAAAGAAAGGAGAGGGAGGGGGACGAGCAGAGGGAGAAGACAAGGAAGGAGGGGGGCCCTCTCCGGGACTCTTGGGGCAATCATGGGATCCTGAGGCCCTGTGGGCGTTCTTTGGCTCTCTTGGCCCCCTTGGGGCGTCTTGTGGCGCTGGTGCGCCATCTTTAGGCCGTCTTAGGCTGCATTGGATCCCTCTTGGGCTGTCTTGGGACCCCCTGGAGGCCTTCTTTGGCCTTCTTGGGGCACTCCTGAGACAGCTAGGGCCCTTTGGGGCTCTCTCAGAGACCAAAGTTGCAGATTATCCTAGCAATCATGATGATGACCATCACCACCATCACCGTCATCACCATCGCCGTCGTGTTCGTGGACATCCGTACCCACGGCGCGGATGGATGGAGAGACTATCGGTGGCGCGCTTGGGGGGGAGTGAAAGGGAGAGGGTCTTCTCAGAAGGCTCTGAAGTCCTCCGACCTTCTGGGAAGGTTTCTAAGTCTTCCCCTAAGACGCACAACAAATGTATAAACTTATTCGAAGGCGCGAGGGCTTCTGAGAAGCCCAGCCGCCTTCTGAGACGGCCTTGTCAGACTTCCCCCCTCGCTCGCCGCCGAAACCAAGGACAAGGAGGAGGACGAGGCGCAGCCAAGGCTCGGGCATGCACACATCGTCGACGTCGTCCAAGGAAGACTTCTCCCCCATGTCGACCGTCTGCGGCGCGCGCGACCCGGAGGGGAGAGCCTCCCAGTCGTCTGTCGAGGCTTGCTGGAATCTTGGAAAACTCAGGGGACCTCATTGGTGCCCCTCGATGTAGTTTTCTTGAACCAGGCAACTCAAGGCCACGTTTCAGTCCGGGCCAACGCGACCCCGGGTCCATGCAAAGCTGGATCAGTCGAGCTTTGCAGGATCCTGCAGGATCCTGCGCGCTAGCTCGGGTCGGTGCAGCCCTGGCTGTGAAGGATCCTGCAAGATCAGGCGCTCTGGCTGACCCCCGTTTGCGGTGAACCCCGCTTCGAGGCTCCCGAGCGTTGTAGATTTGATGACTTCCGGCGCAGGCGAAGCCCTGACCAGCAGTCCCCGCAAGGGGCGCCAAAGTGAAATCGTGAAAGAACCTGCGCGCAAGGGCTTACGCGTCCAATTCGCAGAATGAACGCGGGAACCGAAACATGGGGCAGAACCGAAGAAAGAGATGAAAGGAATTAATTCACCGACTTAAACTGGGTAGGAGATGGCAGGCAGCCGCTGCAAGGAATGGTTCGAGGAGAGAAAACGATAACGAACGATGGGAGGTAATTGTGGTGATGAATTTTGGCATGGTGCAATGAATCAACGCATCCACCCTGAATTGTGACGCAATGGCGCCTCCAGGCGGTGATACTAGACGTAGTTGAAAACGGCAACCGTGCACATCTGATCAGACAGCTGTCGGAAAACAACTATGCAGATACCCAGCTTTCTGGGCCCCCGGCGGCCAGAACAGGTGCTCATGCGTATGTGTGGTGCTCCGAGACAGGCCGCCTTCCCTCACCATGCCCTTGGAGCGCTTGCTCGGGTGTGTTCGAACTCCTCTCCTAGCGAATGTCTGGTGTGGGCCCGCGGTGAGAGTCTTTGTAACGTCCTGCGGCGGGCGCACCCCAGGGTGGTGGGTTTGTTTTCCACCGCCACCTCCATCAGTGTGGGGGGGGTCCTCCTCCTCCTCCTCCTCCTCCTCCTCCTCCTCCTCCTCCTCCTCCTCCTCCTTCCTTTTTCCTCCTCCTCCAGGCCTTTCTGGCCCGAGTTCGGGTCAGCTGGGGTTGGGAACCTTGGGAAGGCCTACTTCCCCCCTGCGAGCCAACGATTTGGCTGTCCCTTGGTCCTGGGCACTGGGGGCCATCTGGGACAAAACGTCTTCGGTGCCGCGGCCGCCATGGCCCCGCCTTCTGCCTGTCGCTCGACTCCATCGGCATGGCTGTGCAAAAGTTGTACGGCAAGGGATGGATCAAAATGGCAGAACAAGGGCGATCTGCTCTACTGTGGGAAGTGCAAACTGCACAAAAAGGTATCTGCTACAGTGGGCCTAACAATCCTGGAGCACCGTCGACCAGTTCGTCGGCTCGTCGAGCAAGTCTACCCCATCTGCGGAAGTCCAGAAGCAGCTCACGGAACTACGGTCTCAAATACAACGACTCCAGCAAGGTGCGGGTGGCACAGGCGACTAGGGCCCCCAGGGGAAGGATGCTCCGTGGGCAGACACCTCCGAGGGCAACGGGGGAAACTGAGAAGAAGAAAACTCGCATCAAGCAAATCACTGAGCTCCTCAAGACGCTCCAGGGTTCGACGGTGGGGGCTGACCAGACCTACGCCAAGACCTTGTCCGCCGAGAAGGACAAACTTGAGGTCGAGCTATTGCGGGCCGCCCCCTGGAGAATAGGGCTACTCTCTTGGGGGCAAGATCCGCACCGCGCGCGCGAAGGCCAAGAAGCTCTCCGAGGACCGGGAGGGCGTCGGGTGCCAGACCGCGACCTTGGAGGCGAAGCGGGACACCCTCAAGCCGACGGCCTCAGATGCTGAGGCGGAGGTTGTGCGGCTGGAGAACGAGTTCGCCAAGATCGCCCCCACGCGCGCGCCTCCTGAGGCGAAGGGCCAACCGACCCTCCACGATTTGCTACCTGCAGCCGAGCTGTCGGTCCAGCAGCTGGGGGCCACGGCGGCTGGTGCGGGCCTCGACCAGACGGTCCTCCAGGAGCTGCAGGGCGACTCGACGACGCTCGCGGGCGCCCTCGGTCGGCTCCGTGAGGCTGCTGGCCCTCCTCCTGCTGCAGAGGCGTCGGCTGCGGCGCCGCGGCCTGCAGCCGCCTCAGAGGATTCGGCTGCAGCCCAGGTGGATGACATTGCTATCGACTATGATAACCTAACGGCGGAGGAGATGCAGGCCATGTTTGCCAGCATCGGCAACGCGCCCCCTCCAGAAGCGGAGCGCCTCGAGGACTCCTTGGCCACCCTCCGCGGGAAGGCCGAGAAGACGAGGGCCGCCTGGGCCCTTGACCTTCCCCCTTTTTCCTCGTGCTGCTGACGATATTCGTCCGCTTCGTGCACGTCCGTCGAGGCGGTGCAGTCGGGCGCCGAGGAAATTGCTGAGGGGTCGATGGGCGGCCAGTCCGCCCACGGCCAGGGTGCCACTAACCACGCACCTCCTGTTGCTCAGCACTGTGCTGGTTCTTTCTCAGCCCGAGGGATGGCTGAGATCCTCGATCGGAATGCTGACGCAGGGGCGCCGCCTTTGAAGGCACCCCGGCTACGTGAAGATATGCCGATGGATAGCCAGTCTATCCACGGCCGCGGGCACTTTACACATGCGTCTGATATACAGCAGTTTTGTTCGGATGCTGGCCCAGCCCGTCTGATTAGGCCGTGGAAACGATCGATGACCAGATCATCGACGCCGAAGCAGATGGTCTAACGACTGCGCTGGAAGAACTGAGCCACATCGTCTTTGAGGTCAATCACGTCTATTGCTGGGAACGTTGCGCTGGCACGTGCGACGCGTTGCGCCTTGCTGATGCGAGGAAACTGAGACGGCCGTGCCTCGGTCCATCGTCCAACCCATCGACGTTACGCAACCTGCGCACAGCGATAAGTCGGGTACGACCAGGCCTACCACCACGACAGCGAAGTGATCATGCCGAAGCTGAAGATGGTGGGTGACCAGAGATGACTGATCCAATATCGCCACTCCTCTGCATTGGTGGAAGCTCACCCGTCGGATGAAGCTGGTGCTGTTGCTGATAACTCGTACGGGTCCTGGAACACACGCCGTTACTGGTAACTCGCACGGGCCCTGGAATACACATTCTGCGATGGCTGATCCAATATCGCCACTCCTCTGCATTGGTGGAGGCTCGCCCGCCGGATGAAGGTGGCACTGTTACTGGTAACTCGTACGGGCCCTGGAACACACGCCGTTACTGGTAACTCGTACGGGTCCTAAGAGTACGCATTCTGCGATGGCCTGGTGGACGACTTCGGCCTGCCCCCTGCCGAAGATCTACCTCCTCCTTGGGGCCATCTGACTCCAGTGCGGCCGTCCGCCGCATGCTTTTGCCGCGGCGCCGCGGCATCTCGACGCGGCGTCGCTATCTGCAACTCTGCAACTCCTTCCTCCTCCTCCTCCTCCTCCCTCCTCCTCCTCCCTCCTCCTCCTCCTCATCCTCCTCCTCGCTCCTCCTCCTCCTCCTCCTCCTCCTCCTCCTCCTCCACCTCCCTCCTCCGCCTCCTCCTCCTCCTCCTCCTCCTCCTCCTCCTCCCTCCTCCCTCCCTCCCTCCCCCCTCCCCCCCTCCCTCCCTCCCTCCCTCCCTCCCTCCCTCCCTCCCTCCCTCCCTCCTCCTCCTCCTCCTCCTCCTCCTCCTCCTCCTCCTCCTCCTCCTCCTCCTCCTCCTCCCTCCTCCTCCTCCTCTCCTCCTCCTCCTCCTCCTCCTCCTCCTCCTCCTCCTCCTCCTCCTCCTCCTCCTCCTCCTCCTCCCTCCTCCTCCCTCCTCCCTCCTCCCTCCTCCCTCCTCCCTCCTCCCTCCTCCCTCCTCCCTCCTCCAGGCCCATGCCATCCCTGCTGGGATGGGCCTGGAGGGCGGCGAGGCCCACGGCGAGGCCAGGCGGCGGCACGCGTCCGGAAAAAGACGGCCCCCTACGAGCGCACGGCGGGCGGGCCGGAGCCCGAGATGCGGCGGCGAGCGAGGGGCCCCCTGCTCGAGGCTCGAGCTTCGAAGTTTTCGGACGTCTTCGTCGGTTCTCGGCGGCGTTCTAGCCTCGGGATGCTTGCCGGCAGATGCGCCTCGCCCAGGGCGTTCTGGGGAAGCCCCGACCGTCCCGAACGGCCGCCGGAGACCCGAGTTATGACCCAAAAACCAAGTTCGACGGCGCGCCCGAGAAGGAAGTGAGAAGGAGAAGGCCTTCTCAGAAGGCGGCGGGACTTCTCAGAAGCCCTCCGGCCTGCTGAAGTTTTTTAGGTTTTCGGGGAACTTCTCCGAAGGCCGGGGGACTTCCGGACCTTCTGAGAAGGCCCGCCCCTTCTCACTTCCCCCCCTCGCTCGCCGCCGAGGGATGCACCTTATGGTT